ATTATGATTTTTCTTCAGAGCAAAAGTACTGTAATAAGTCTCTTGGAATGGAAGATGGACGAATAAAAGATGAAAGCATCAAAGCTTCATCTCATGCGACCAGTGGTTGTGGCTCAGATCCCTGTAGCCCATATAACGGTCGTCTAAATGGTAAGGTAAACGCGTGGGTGCCCCAAAAAAACGATCTTGATAAATGGCTTCAAGTAAACTTGCTTAATATAACTGAGGTCACATCAGTTGCTACGCAAGGTGTCAAGCTTTCATCAGGCGCTGTCCTCTATGTAAAAAGTTACAAACTAAAGTATAGTGATAACGACGATTCGTCATTTCAAGAACACAGTACTACGTTTGTTGGCAACGCAGACGCAAGCAGTGTTGTCAAGAATGCGATAAACCCACCAATTGTCGCTAGATATGTTCGTGTTCATTCTTTTGATTACCAAGGGGCTGTTGCTCTGCGAATTGAATTGTACGGATGTGTGTTAAATTAAACACTTGACACGCCATATATAACTATCTAAGAATTAAGCCAAATACTGTGATACTGCAAATTGTATTTCAAGACCGAAATGCATTGTTGTTATTGGATTACATAAGTGACTATACAAAAAAAAGAAAAAAATACACAACGAGTTGTATATTTTTATATAATGACCGAACAAGTCTTGAAGCCAAACTCAGGATGGTGTCAGGAAAGTGTATCCTATYATTTACACACTCTAATCAGCCAATCAGCGAGCAGGAATTCACTTTGCAATTGTAAAATTTATAAAAAGTAAATTTTCTTTCAATCGAAAATGCAGTCATTTTAATTTACAACAGTGAAATCTCTGGCTCTTTAGCGGTGACGAGACGATAAACAATGTATTTCGGTATTGGAATTCACAGTCTTATATTAAGTACTCGAATTTTATTGAAACATTAGTTTTCTCTTCAATCGACGTGACTATGGTCTATTATGAATATACCATCTTTCAGTAGCCAATGAGAATGCTGGGTTTGTGAAAGGTCATAGTTTGATGGCTACCAATGTTGATTAGACAATAGAAAACAAAGAAATTCTCATAATTGAGTACTACATTTTTTAAGAAACCAAGACTATATGTCCAGAAATTTTTTAAAAGAAAACGATGTGTGTTTTCGTGAAAATATCATGATTATTTGCCCTAAAAAAAGTGCCAGGACATATTTAAACTGTGTTATTCTAGTTAAATAGAAAAAAAAGTTTTTTGATTTAGCGGACTCAAAATTGCTGATCCTAGACAAATCCGACTTTGTATTAGCCGAGCTTTAAATTTCGTCATTCATCTTTAAGGAGATGCCCGCTAAGGCGAAAGCAGGGCTAATAAAGTCAAATACGTCTAGGTCGTTGATATGTAATTTATCTGAATTTGCAATTTTTTTAGTTGCCCRAAAGAATTATTGCAAACTTGTTGACAAACGTGTCAGCAAAAATGGATGTTGAAGATTGTATATTTGTTATTTGTATCTATTCCTTGAGGATTCAAAGATTACAAAAAGCGATTAGCAATGTTTTCATTCTTGAACGTGCAGTGAAAWTGACTATTTAGTTAGCGTTTGTTGATAAAAGAACAAAAGAAAACAATAGTGTCATCTTTTCACAGCGGACATGTTGAAGGAACTTCAACAAAGGATTTCTCATTAGTATCTATTGTTCATTCATCCAACATGGCTGCCGGTCGTTTATCTTTTGAATCTCAAGGGAATGGTTGAAAACGATCAATTCGTCTCACTAATCTTTCATGGTCAAGTGAAAATAACTCTAGCGAGTTAGTATGACTCAAAGTTTGCATGTCTACGAAGTAGCTTGTAGTTGCATGTACATTTATACATAGCAAATCTGCTTCCATTTGCATGGTGGAAAATTCGTATTTTAAAAGAAAGTCTTGGCGTCCGGTTACTCTGTGTTTTGGAGAACATACATGGCCGCCATATTTATCAGTAAATCTGGAGAAGGACGCCGAAGCTCAAGCTGTAAGTAACTTAATAATATTGCCTGTTATTGTACATTATAATTCTTAGACTTAGAATAAGGTTTGAATCTGTAAAACTGCTGAATTTGTAGCAAGGATTCATACTAATATAACGAGAGCTGGTCTCTTGCTTGTTTTTGAATAAATTTTGCATGAATTATATAGATTGTCTAAAGCCGGCCAGAGGTCAAAAGCATGTCAATAGTCGACTTTAGATATTTTGGTTCAGTGACCATGCACAAAAGAATTGTAGACGAGGCTCCGGGGAAATAAAAGAATAAATCAAGATTATCCATTGTTTCCCCGGAGCCTCGTGTGCGTTCTTTTGTACATAGTCATCGAACCAAAATATCTAAAGTTGACTATTTATTATTCAGAATTCTTAAATGGTAATGCATGATTCATTTTCTTGTCAAGAAGTTTATTTCCAAAATGAGTTCTTGTTAACACGCACTGCCATTTTGTTTTTGTTTTTGGGGAATAGACTTCTGAACCTTTAAGTAACAATGCGAGCAAAAAGCAGGCAACTTTCTATTGTTCTGCGGCAATTRCARCTTCCCSACATACRAATGTCTTGGTYTTCACACTGATTATATATCAACCTATGGGTAACAGATTTTTAAAATAAAATGTGAATAAACTCTGTTTTGAAACAAACTTTCTTTTGTATTAAAAGATCTTGTCCAATCATAAGCACTCAAAACAATAGCCAAAAAATGCTTCTAATTTGCTATGTTCCCCACATAGAATTGCTATTAATATTAAAGCTAAGGAAAGCTTTTATGAAGTCGGAATCAGATATTAAATAAAATATTTAAAAATGCGCTTACTTTTGAAATTATGTCAAATTTTAATGTTCTAACCAATGAGATGGATGGATTATACAATACAAAATTAGCACCTTCATGCATTCCATTGCCGTTTGCTTGCCTGCTTCTTACTCGGACCATAATTACTTAACGTCATTACTTAATTTTCAATGCATTGTGGGATCAGTTTCTAGAGAAGACAAAAAGCAAAATCCGCCATGTTCTGTCCCAAACATATCCTACAATGCATTGCGTATACGGTACATGACGTAAAAGCTTCAGAGGTCTATTTGGAGCAAAGCTCGTGCATTTGCATCAAAA